GGTATTGTCTCCAAGTTTCATGTTTTCGTGCACAAAAATAGCTAGCATTTTTGCACATTTCAAATGCATTGTTAGTTACCGCTGTTCACGTGAAAATGAAACTTGGAGAAAATACCTTGAATGATGAGAGGCTTTCACTTGTAATGACGAAACTTCCGATAAAAAATTAACGAATTGTAGCCGTTATTTTTCTGCCTTACCATATATCAATAATCTTGAAACTGAAAGGTAATATAAAAGGAGGGTTAATCTCAAGAATGTTAACTTTTTAAAAAGTCTATCGAGCAGTTTAATTTGTTGAAGAAGACCAACCATGGTTACAAAACCGCTAACAAGAGTGCTTCGATACATACTAATCAAACCCTTCTTTCTTGCAATCGGCTGGAGCTATCTCCATGATCTTTCACACACGTTTTTAAAAAGATTGAAACTACAATGAGGTGAAATTGCATGTCAAAAGCGTTTCGTTTCATACAGATAACAGCCAAACATCAAGATTTTCCATTTTTTACTGTGTTTCTAACCATAAGAACTTCACCCCAAGATAACTTGATAACGCTCTCACGGATTTTGCTTAAACTAGACGAACATCATGGCCCCTTTTGGAGGAAAAAGCTCCCGTGAACGATTTTGGAAGAACAATTCCCAGTGCCGAGATATACTGCTGCAAGTAAAATTGGTAATAGCGTCTTTTCGTTGCTACGACAACTCCGATGTCATTGCAACCCTGATCATAACAAATTTTAATCTTTATCTGATACATCTGTGGTGGCAATTTTTCAAAATATTTGTTTATGGCGACGTAGTTTATTCTCAAACTTGGGAGGTATTGTCCCTGAAAAACTGTATCGAGCCACCTCAAGTCAACCGGATTCATAGATTACGTTTTTGAACAGCACATTACATAGAAAAGCCCTTATGCTTTTCTGACCTCACTTACTGCCTTTTAGTAACTGCATCTCAAGTGAGCTTCAGTATTTATTATTTATTGTCTGGTTTAACTTTGTTTGTGATGTCCGGGGTAATTATTTCTTGTCACGTACGATAATGCATATTTTCGAGGTCCGAAACGATGCCTGGCATCCTTTTATCAGGTTTATAATACACAGGCTTTTAAACATTTTCTTTTCCAAGCCTACTTCAGCGATACGACTTGATTCATAATGACTTTTTTGCTATATGACTTTTAGCTCGATCGAAGGGTTTTACATTTGAGGTGTGTTTGAGGGATATTTTTTCTTTGTCACCCAATCTAAATGGAAAGTTCCTAAAGTCAGTGAGTATGGATTTGAAGATTTCTTTTCCATTGCCTAAAGTTCATTGATTATGGTTAATAGCTTCCATTATAAATATTATAAACGGATGCTTCGCTTTTAGGCTTAATTCTATACGGTATATTACTAATTAGTATATACACACTCAGTGATCTTGGTGATCTAAGCATTCTGATTGGTTCGCTATCTCGGACTATTCAACAATATTCACCTCCTAGCGAGTGGATAATGTGTGAGCTCGGTGTTTTTCCCGTTTTTTTTAGAGAACGATCTTTTAAAAGTCGACAAAATCCTAGGGCTGACTTTTTTTAAGGCAAGAAAAGACTTGGAAGGATTCAATACGGCGTTTTTCAATTTACTGTAGCAGGAGTTTTGTGCTCGATGGATTGTTTACAACTCCCGTGTATTCGCGTAGAAGAAGCCGTTTCGTGAACTCAGCGTTTTCTAAGAAGAAAATTTTGGCTCAAAAATCGAAGTTTATTTATGACAAACAAATTTAAAAGGAAATGTTTGCCGAAATTCTACATTTCAAGTAAACAGGAAAAAGAATGATACAGGAAGACGACCTCTTACCTCGAGCAACCGAGCCGCCATTTTTGTCAGCACTTCATGCGAAGAACGACACAACATGCCCTTTTGGCTATAAACTTGGCGAGTCAACAGAAAACAACACAGCTCTACTTTTTTTCTCAGGTAAGGAAACAGTTCAAACTTTTAGCGATTCCATTGAAGCCATTACGCTGTTGTTTGCGAAATGAGTAAACTTGTCAATTGCCATGTTTGAAAATTCTGCAAAGATCTATTTTTAAACTTACGCGTGATTTGATCTGTCAATCAAATCCTACTTTTGAATGGTTTCCTTTCTGATTTTGTTGAGATCACTTCGTGTGTATATACTAAAACAATTATTCTTCTCAATCTCGGTGAATAGTGGCTTTGGGAATATTTACCTCGCCGCTTTCGCGGCTCGGTAAATATTTTGCCACTATTCACCTCGATTTCAAAGAATAATTGTTAAGTAGCTCACGAAATGCATGTTTGCAACTTGAAAGCCGTCAATACGTTGTTCTATAGTAAAAGCTATAAACATTACTGAAACCTCAAGCCTAATCATTTGTAAAGTTATTTCAACTTTGATGTTGCAATGTAATGTGCAGTGTAAAGCAAGGAATTGGCCATAATGACTCCAAAATATGTGTGTTTATTGCAGTGTTTTGCTAACTTATCTCAGTGGGAAAACTTGGAAAAATTTTCAGTGTTAAACGTAGATGAAGAGGATCCTCCAGACCTAGAAAAAGTGTGGACAGACACATATTTTCAGGTGAATAACGTTTTAATAAGTTGTTACAGTGATTTGCAGACAGGTTACTAATCTTTAGTGACTGGAAACGTTGATTCCATTTTGTAGGAACACTATCTTCCGTATCTGATAACAAGCAAACTTAAGTTGCAATATCAGGGGAAAGGAGACACAACATTGAATTCTTTTGTCGCTCGAGCGATGCAACACAACGACAGAAGAATATTGTTAGAGGTATGAATCACTGAAATGCGTTACTTACATGAATAAACTTAGCTGTCAGTAAGAAAGTCGTAATAAAAATAATAATAGGCTTAAAATAATAACTGCAATATAATTAATTATATAACACAAACTCCGTTCGATAGATATGAGAAAACATCAGGTAGAATTCCACGTATCTGTACTTCGAACCACTTTTAAACACATATGGAAGCCAGGGGCCCGTTTCTCGAAAGTCCCGGTAACTTTACGGGCCCGAAATCAAATATTCAAATCGAGATATAAAGAATAAGAGCGCAGGTCCTGGTTAGCAAACTACTCCATTTAGTTTCATTAACTGGCAGTTTTATCATGTTAGATGCAAAACTATTGAAACCTCGATCTTTAATGTAAACGGAGACAGCTTACCGGGCCCGTTAATTATGGGGACTTTCGAGAAACGGGCCCCTGACCCGACCGGGAACAGGTTAAACAAATTATATAATCTCATGGTGCCCCTGTACAAGCATATGGTCTCATGATCCTCTGCTTCTTTTTCTGCTGTGCTTCAAAACCATGACAGGTAAGTGAACCTTAACCTTACTTCTTTTCGCTCCCCCCCTTTTCAGCTGTATCTACACCTCAGTAGCAGGAAGACTTTCATAGTCGGGGGGTACTCGATATATCCCTGGGTGGGGAGGTGCGGCGCGGCCCCTCATACCCTGACCCTGTTTAAGACAAATATCGCTGATTTTCCTACCCTGTTTAAGACAGAATTCCGATTTTTGATACCCTGTTTAAGACATTTGTCCTGTTTAAGACAAAAATTGATAGATCGATACCCTGATTAAGACAAAAAATGATAAATTCGATACCCTGTTTAAGACAAAAATCCCGAAAAACATACCCTGGCTGTCCGCACGTCCCCATTAAGCCCTTATAAGGGAGTAACCCCCCTCCCCTGTTTCAAAGCTATTTGTTTTCAAACTGATTCGACCTATCCGGTTGTGGGAAACGATGTCACAACGAAAGCGGTATCATCACTCGCCTTCGCCTTCCCGCCATCGCGAACGCTCGCACACGACAAGCGGCGGTCCGTCTAAAAGGCGCAAAATTCCAGATTCTGTGCCTCCAGCAGCCGAAAGCAGCTTAGGCTTCAATCCTCTCTTCGTTACAGCAAATTCAAAAAGACGGGGCGAAGACCAATGACCGGGTCTCCACCATCGAGTCTCGCTTCGAACAACCTTCGGAAATTCTCGCGCCATTGCATGATGACCAAATTTTGGTTCTGGCCTATTCCAATACGGAGCTTGATTATTCTGAAGAATGTGTGCCGTTGGCTACTGAGCTCCCAACTCAAGCGACTCAGCCAACACATCATGCTATTAAGCCATCAAACAAGACAAGACTTTAGGAACCCCCAGAGATTGGAGACTGGATTCCTTCGTAGATAAACTTTCTAGAGAAAACTGAGTTATGATTAGGTTTACGAAATCCTAGGGAAGTACAATATCTCTTCAGCGGATTGTCTCAACACCTACCTTAGATCCTTCAGTGCTAAATCAAATTAGTCCTCCACAAACAAAAAAAAACGTGCAAGATCTTGACAAGGAGATGCCTGTAGTCCAAAGGGGAAAGAAATTAAGAGCGTCGTCGAACAGACACTCTGCTTTTTGTGCTCAGCTAATCGTCAGTTGTCTGTTTTACGTTGGAAGAAGGTCCTTGTTAACATTATTAGGGAGAAAATAAGTCTGGCTAAACAGCCACTTCCCGACGCCAAACGGTTTCTGTTTGGAGAAGACTTCCCTTCTGTTTCTTCTAAACAGGCAGAACTTTTCCAAGATCTAGCCAAGAACCTATCCAATATTTCAAAACCCAAGCAACCATAGCAGAAAAATTTGACTAACAGGGACAGGCAACGCCCTAGGTACACAGATACCTTCACTAAGTCTCAGTCAAACCGATCAAAAAGCTATCGGCCGTTTGATCCCCACAATGGAGCCTCAAACCAAGACTCAACACATTCCAGTAACAAAATTTTGGATTTAACAGCTCCCCTTATAGATACAGAAGTGTTGAAGTTCCTATCATGGGGAGCAATAACGAAAATACCCTTTACACGGAAAATTTCTACAGAAGACTGTTCCTAGCCCCCAAAAAGAAGGGCCTCATCGCCCTGTGATCGGAGCCATCTCCACAAGTTTGTAGAAAAATGCCACTTTCAAATGGAAAACATCTCTTACCTAAAGACCCTCCGCAATAGGGGAGACTTTTTGAGATCCGTAGACTTAAAGGACGCACATCTTTCCGTCCATGTACACGAGTCCTCATAAAAGTACCTTTCCTTCCAATGGAGAGACGAAAACATTTGCCTTTCAAGGCCTCCCATTTCGGCTAAATACAGCTTCCAGATTTTTTTAAAGCTGCTAAAACCAGCAGCTTGCCTTTCTGCGAAAGAGAGGTATCTAGACGACTGTCTTATCCTGGGTAGCTCTGTAGAGGAGTCAAGAGCCAACACTTGCTAATACTGCATCTCCTACACGGGGTAGGCTTCACCATTAACTGGGAAAAGTCCGTCTTGGAAAATTTCTACAGAAGACTGTTCCTAGCCCCCAAAAAGAAGGGCCTCATCGCCCTGTGATCGGAGCCATCTCCACAAGTTTGTAGAAAAATGCCACTTTCAAATGGAAAACATCTCTTACCTAAAGACCCTCCGCAATAGGGGAGACTTTTTGAGATCCGTAGACTTAAAGGACGCACATCTTTCCGTCCATGTACACGAGTCCTCATAAAAGTACCTTTCCTTCCAATGGAGAGACGAAAACATTTGCCTTTCAAGGCCTCCCATTTCGGCTAAATACAGCTTCCAGATTTTTTTAAAGCTGCTAAAACCAGCAGCTTGCCTTTCTGCGAAAGAGAGGTATCTAGACGACTGTCTTATCCTGGGTAGCTCTGTAGAGGAGTCAAGAGCCAACACTTGCTAATACTGCATCTCCTACACGGGGTAGGCTTCACCATTAACTGGGAAAAGTCCGTCTTGGAACTTACCCAGTCATTAACATTTCTAGATTTCTCCATAAACTCACTGATGATGTCATTCAGTCTTCAAGAGGAAAAATCCTGATCATTCAAAAAAGCGTCAACAGATGCTATGCAACCCCACCCCAGCAGCTCGCGAAGTGGCAAGCATAAATGGAACGCTGGAGGCGGCTTGCCTCGCTATCTAGCAGGCCCTCCTCTATTACCGGCACTTACAAATACAGCTCATAAAATCCCTACAGGCATCTCATCACAACGAAGTGGTAGACAGAGAATCACGCGAGTTTTACGATTCCAGCAAATGGTAGTCCATCCCTTCATCAAAAAGTGCAATGTCGATCTTTTTGCCTCGCACCAAACAGCCCTTCTTCCAACATATGCCAGCTGGAAACCAAACCCACAATACTCGTCACAAATCGTTGAAACAGAAGGCATTTGTCTTGAATTTTCTTCAAATTTCTTTCATTCACTCTTCACACCTTTGTTCTCACTCAAATGTACCCCTCTCCTTCCCCAATGGTGAGCCACGCGTATTTTGGAGCACTGAGATGACTGCAATACCCAAATCAACATTGGGAAAGGGGGAAATCACACAAGTGTTTCAAGATTTGTGACGAGTATTGCAGGCGCTACTTACACAGATGCAATTACCCTCTCCAGACTGGTCCCGCCCAGAAGGGTACCCCTTTTCCCCTTTCAGCTTACGTGCAGCAGTGCTGAAGAAGGTATCTCAGTACGGAGAATATCTAGTCCTGGTCGCACCAGTCTGGCAGGCACAGCCCTGGTGACGAGGTCTTCTGAATCTCTTTCTCAAGAATCCTGTTATTATCGTTATTATACCTTCTGAGTGATCCTGCATCCTCTCTGAGAAACCACCCAATGTATCTAAGGATACACCTTTCATACATCACATATCAGGGATCAACATCAAACAGAAGGATTTTCAGAAGACGTTACCGGAATACTTCTCTAAGCCACTCCTACTTCCACATATGCTTGCGGTTTCGTGTCTGGAACAAGTCTCGTCCCTTACGAAGCTTGACCTCCGCTACTACCGCGTGGCTCCCGAGGGAGTCTCATTTACATTGACTACGCCAAGAAAGCGTGGTTCTCCACAACAGTTACTCAAGCCTTTTTTTGTATCCTTTCCACATAACAAGACACTCTATCCAGCCCTTTTACGTCGTTATCTCAAAGCTACACGAAACCTACGCCCAATATTTCCATCCTCTAAGACCTTTATTTTAATGTTGTATTAAACCGTCTTATCCGATTACGTTGTCTACTCTTTAAACATTTAAAAAATTCTGGTTCTTGTAACTCCACGCGGATGCCATCCTATTAGCTTTTCTTGTTGGTTAATCGGTAAAAACACTAAAAGCTAACACTACAGCAATTTGGTTTTAATTGTTTCAACATAATGGATTATTGTAAAAAGGCGTAATTATGTTACCGTTTCTGATGAAATAAGTTAAATTTGCACGTTACTGTACACTGAAGTGCTCAAGGATCAGTAACTATCTTGTATTAACATTGCAAACCGAATATTAAATCAACCGCGAAGACTCGAACCCCCGCAAACTTGAACTGGTTTTCGTTTCGCTTTAGAGTCCGAATTACCAAAGTTGTACTGTATTTCTAACTTCGCTTGTTTACATAATTGCCATTATACTGGCAGGCCGCATCGCGGCCTGGTATAATTGGGGTGTGGATACATACTAGTCAGGTGACTAGGTGTTCTCATGTGAACCCCTAGTCTCCCTTGCAGCCGTTTTTGTCTCGTCACGCAACGCTCCTCCCCAACAAACGCAAAAAACAAAGCAAAATGAAAATAACGTCAGGTTTCGCTGAAAGAGTTAGCCCCTGAGATTTCCAGTTGCATCAGAGGTGTCAGCCGCGACATTCTGTTTTGCGTTTCATAAAAACTGAATCCAAGATTGAGGTTTTCCGTCGCGAAACCTGAAAAGTACATTTAGCACTTAAATGGGCGACTTAAAACTGTACAATGCTTGGTATAAAAGCTGGATCAGTAAATTTTCCATTGAGGGAAAAAAATCAGTTTTGGCAAGAAACTGCTAGCTGACCTAATTGTTATCAGATTATCAGCATTGTTCATCAGTCCTGTCACATGCAGACGCAGACCAGATATTATATTATAAAGCATACGCGTTTCTAAAAAAAATCTTTGGAATCGCCTTTAAGAAAACACAAATACCGCTTTAAGTGGACGTGAAATTCAATACTCACCCTGGGTAGTTAGTCAAATCGTAGCAATTTTAAATCTGTTTAATTCAAAACAGTTACAGTATTAAAACGGCTTTCTAGGAGACAACTTGACACAAGACATGATCCAATAGAATGCGGGGTATGATTGGACGGCATATAAAAGAATAATTTGGCGCGAAACACTTCCAAAAAATAGAACCATAGCTGTGATTGGCTCAAATGGAGAAAGGAATGTGGTTCGAATGTGAGCAGCCGTTTGTTGGGGAGAAGCGTTACGTGACGAGACTAAAACGACCGCGAGAGAGACTAGTGAACCCTGTGTTGTTGATGTGGTAATGTAAGTGACAAACAGCATTAAACTGGTGACGAAAAACAGATAGTTCAATTTTACTTACTGCTCGTGTAAGAAGATTTAAATGATGAGAGTGAAAGTTTTTTCTCTTTGAGTTTCTGTCCAGTATTTTTTGGAAAAGAATATTTGCTCCCGGTAAAACATTACCTTGGGTATAGTCTCCTTTTCATTTAGCGGTTTTAACTGCTTGGTAATCTTCCTATTGAACTGTAGTATTAATTTCATTTACAGAATCGCCACGGTGACAGTCTCGCCCTACTGTATGTTCTTCAAGATGACTACGATAGAGCATCTTACTATGCTGACTACAATGACAAAACGTTTCTTGTGGTAGGTTTTCTTGTCAACCACACGATATAGGAACTCCTGTTGCGAACTATTTTGTGTTTGTACTGCAAATGTATATTCCTTAGCTTTATAAAGACACTTGTAAATTGTATAAATAGACCTAGGTCTTGGGATCATTGGTGAAAGAAGACTGAAAAAAGAAAAAAAAAAGGTTTTGGCTCAGGTAGGTTACAGAGTTCATATAAAAAGTTGCATTGGTACAGATATGTTTTTAGCTCAGTTTCCGTTTATTTCCCCTTTCCTTGGGGGATCCACTTCAAAAAGGGGAATCCAGCCATTCTCTGATCCGCTATGCCTTTATTTTCATTTTCTTACGCGACATCAATGTTCACAAAAGTGTGACATAATTTATATTAATTATATTATATGGTATTGTGGTACTAAACTCTTTTGACAGGACTGGGCAGGCTTGGACTCTATGATGTATGCAAGTCGCTCTGCTAAGCTACAGTCATTACAGAAGATGGCCGAAATGCAGGAGTTTCTTGATTTTATTAAAGAAGAAGGTTAGTGGTAAGGTGTCTTGATATCTGGCCTTACATTAACCTTGACTGGGAATCAAACCCCGACCTTTGCGATGACCGAACGCAACGTTCAATCCATTAAGGCAATCAAGCAAACTGGAGAGGAAGCCATTGTGAGTTCGTAATATATCTGATGGTGGAGATGACATGAATTGAAATTTTATGAAATAAATCATAGTTCGGTTTGCGGATAAAGACATGAAATTCTACATGATCTTCGCACATATTTCAATTCATGTCATTTCCATCACTACATACTCACAATGGCCTACTCTCCAATTGGCTTGATGAGCTCAAGGGATAGAACGTTGCATCCGCTCATCGCAAAGGTCAAGGTTCGATTCCCAGTCAAGGCTGAATTTTTTCAGTTTTTTTTTTTTACGCTTAGGTTGTTCATTCTACTGCGAAGATCATGTTCACTTTCAGAAGCGCCTTTTCTTGTTAAAAACTTCAAAAAATATCTACTGTCGTCGTTCGCTTCTTTTTCTTTTTGGTCCGTTTTTTTTTACATGAACATGTAGTTGCTAATACATATTACTTAAAATGTTTAAACAGCCGTTTACATACATTCATTGGACAAAAAGGTCTCTGTGATATTCAATTGAATTTCAAATGGACAACTAGAACCTGCTAGAACTTGCTTTTTTTAAACTGTCATTGTATTGAACATGAATTACTGCCGAAAGGATTGCCCTTTCAGGTTGGTTCTGAACCACACGAAGGTCTCGCTGTTTGCAGGGCTAAATTGGTACCTTCTTCCTCGGTTATTTTAAGACCGTGAGTGTTAGTACGACGCTAGGGATCGAACAAAAAGTTTCCCACTCTAGCAGGACTAACTGAATTTTTGTGTCAGAATTTAAAGTGTTATTTTTTTTCCACCCTTTTTTAGAGAACTTCTCAAGTTTAAGTCCAGTGATGAGATTGTTAGACAAGTGGAGTTCACGCCTTCTTGATCCAAGGATTCATCCAATCAGCATTTGGGATGACCTCGTTACCAACAGGTAAAAATATATCCATATTTAAGGTGTCATGTTTATCATGTCTCGAGCATAGGACAAAAATATCTCTCCAAGGGGATTCTACCGATAACCACCCATGTGGTTATTGGTCAGGCTTAGCTGTGGACAGACTATTTAAAAAGGTTATAAAAATTATGAGTGATTTCAATGTTTTTTTTTTTCGTGCACTTAAGAAGTAGTACGTCATTTGAATAGTTTTCGTGTACAGTCTTCGTTTGACTTTTCTTTGTTTTTAGAATTGTGTTCATGGACAAGATATCGAGGAAATTTGAGACACTTGGAGCAGAGGAGAGGTAAATTAGGAGGGTGCCTATATACCGAGCCATGACTAGAGTCCGGACGCAGGACTCGATAATTTTTTGCTTTCCCACCATTTTCACGTCCTGCAAGTCTCGTGACCATTAAGAGGAGGGTTTTCGTGGCCATCATGGAAGGAAAGCTCGAGCTAGGGTTAGGTTAGGGCGAGGGTTTTGAGTCCTTTCTTTGCTTTTATTTACTTTTGTTTATTTGTTGATTAATTATATATTTTATTTATTTTTTTGCGTACAAAAAGTTTAGAAAAGTCCTAACTGGAGTCCTGGCTTGAGTCCAGGGTCGAAGGCCTGGCTCGAGTCCT